GCAGTGGGCTGGAACAGAGCAATGTTCCGTTCTGTTGTGTATGGATGAGACAATCACAATCCTAACAATGAAACAACTGATGCGGGTAATGCGCCTCGAAGGACAAAACCATTAGAAGAGTTGATGAGCATCTTTCCAGTGGGATCAGGCCACCTGACACCCCCCCGCCCCCCCATCACAAGAGCAGCCGGCAAATATGACGTACTAGGAACCAGCCTGCCCCTCCCAAGACACTCTCTGTGTTGGAAACTCCTGTCCCCACGTTGAAGCTCAAGCTCATTAAGAATTTAGAGCAACTTCTAATGGACAGGGAATGTAGGCCGCAGAACACTTCAAATGCTGCCGCAAGGAAGCAGACAGACATTCAGAAGGGGCACATTCTACAGAACGACGGATCTCTTCAGCTTGTCAATGGCATTCACAAGGGGAAGTCTACACAAGGGGCATGTCTGAGGAAACTCCTAACACCGCACACTTCAGAGCTGGGCATCCCACCACATGCAAAAGTGACCTTTTTTTTTTGGAATTTAAAGAGAGACCTAAGGAATAGAATACATAAATAAGACGGTGGCCTTGCAGACATCCTGATTCCAATTAGAAAGACGTTCTTGAGACGATAGGGCAGACGTGTCTACAGGATGGATACGGGGTGGGCACATGTCACTTTCAACGCTGGAGCGTCATGAGACAAGCGGTAGAGCTGTAGATAGAGGAGGAGGGTGACAGGGGCCTGGGACATGCTTTAAAATGCTTCCCTTACATGTATCCATGGGTCACGTAGTAGCTGCCCCGTCCTTTCAGTGCATCAGCAAAATAAGACATAATTATAAGAGAGACAGACAGAGCACGATGGAAAGCTGTTAAGATGGGGTGACTTAAGAGGAGACAGCGTTTGCAGTGCCATATATACGTACAGATTCAGACTTTTCCCTCAACAATACGCTGGGGGACTTCGTTCAGGGCAGGTGTGACGAGGCCGAGGCAGCTCTTAAACCTGGGTGATAGGTGGGTACGCGGGAGTCCATTGTCTCACTCTAAATGGGCTTTTAGACGGTTTAAGACTTCTAAATCAAATGAGAGAGGGAGATGTGTATGGCAACGGTCTGGTCGACGTCCCCCCTAACGTGGAAGTGACGTGGTTTACCACAAGCCTGCCGGGCACAGGTGCCTGCTCACAGCCACCCTGGGAGGGGGCCGCTGTCCTTATCACCGGGGTGCAGAAGAGGAAATCGCTCAGAGAGGAGAGGTGGCTAGCCCAGCCTCACACAGATAGGGGATGCAGGCAGTCGGCTGCCAGAGGCTGCATGCTTTGGGGGGGCGGGGTGGGGTTCGTTGTGGGGAAGTTACAGGCAACCAAAACATGCTT